TACTGTTTTAATTCTTTCCCACCCGAATTTTCATAGTACTTCAGTAGTACTGTCTATTATCTGTACTATAATACTGTAGTATTATCTATAGATAGTACAGTACTATCTATAGTGCAGACATAGAGAGCACTTTATCAATCCCCCAATTACGTGCAAACGCACGTATAAAAATCTTATTAATTATTTACTTATTTTTGGTTAATTAATATATGTATATATATATATATATATATTGATTAATCTTTTGTGAGTCTTCAGGCCAGATTGGATCTACCTTTCGTTGCTCCTGGCCACATTGCTCCATCGTCGATTTGGCCACATAGCCAAAACTTTTGGCCACATATAGCCAGAAATAGAAAAGAGGTATACTCCTTCAATTACCGGCTAATTATGTCGACAGATTCTTTGTTCGACGCGCGCACGATGGTCGCGAGGGCTATTTAATGTTAATAAAATATTAAATTTATGATAAAATCTTATAAAATTTATATAAAACTTTTTGAAGTAATATAACTTCTATATACTAATAATACCGCGTTTTTTTTTACACTACGCGTGATTAATCTTCGATTTAAAATAAAGAAAATCAATTGCAAATCAAAATCAAATACATATGATAAAAAGAATTTAAGAAAATGGACTAATAAAAGTATTGTAATAATAAAAATAGAAAAATAAAAATATTGTGATCTACATAATTAATATATATTCAAAGAAAAATATATTCAATGAGAAAAAAAAATCTAAGGCCCATATGATTCGTTCGTATTATTCGCGTATGATCGAAACTGTTTATTTAAATATCACCACAGAAAGAATGATTTCTTTAGATTTAATAAATTTTATTAGATTCAAGAAAATTTATCTTTCGAAATAGTCCAAACAAATCAATTATTATTTCTACTAATTCTATTAATTCGATTGTTCGATTTTTCAAATAATAAGCAGCTTTTTTTTTTAAATAAAATATTTATTTAATAAATTATTTGGAAAACAATTACGCTCTTTATTTATGCTTTAACAATATTAAAGAATCTCTTTCTTTCATTAAAACAATATTTAATAGCCAAACAAAGTATTATTTAGTTCAAAAATAAATTTTATTTCCTTTAAATAATGACGTTCTTTCTATTAAACAAAATATATTCTAACAAAACAACAAAACTCTTAATTCAACAAACTGAATTTTAATATAAAATTACGTTGTTTAAATTAAATAAATTCAAATCAAACAAATAGAATTGCTAAATCTAAAGAAATCTTTTTCTCAGCTTGAATCAGGTGGGAACGATTCGTGTAAAAGATTCAAAATGAATGACGTGAGATTCATCCGAGATAATAAAATTCTTGCATAATCAGCATGCCAATATTACATAAATTGTTATGATATAAATTCTAAATACTAGATTTTGTATCTACATAATTTAATAAAATTCAAATATAATATGAGTAATAATAAATTCAATAAATAATGTAAATGAAAAAAATTTATTAACAATTCTTGTAATTAAATTAGGATTTAAATTAAAAATAAACTTTCAAAGATTTCAATACAAAATAATGTATTTTTAATAAAAGTGAATTAATAATTTATAATTATCAATTTATATTCCGCGAGAAAGGCGAGCCAGTATACGCGAGGAGTATACAATAAAAGTATCTGACTTATAATTTAACACTCTAAGTCAATAATTTTTTTATAAATAATAAAATTTGATGACTGCACCTATTTAAATTTATCATAAAATTTAATAATATAACAATAGCAAAGAAGACTGCACATCAAAAAAAGAAAGAAAGATTTGCAGAAAGACTTTGAAATTTAACAAAATTATATATCTATGAGTTTCTGAAAATTATTTTTTCAAATTCTATAATTGCTTTCAAAATCATTAATAATTAATAAATTATTAATAAGTGTTTATATTTGATAATAGAGTATAGCATAAGTTCTGTATATAAGTTGCACCTATTTAAAAATATAACTCAAGTATTATACATTATCCTTAAGATAAATCATATATGCTAATAAAAACTTTAATAATCATGTTGATTGAATATTTTTGACTTTATCTAAACTAAATTAGGAACAATTTCTTATATCGCAATTGCGTTGTTATTATTAACAAACTTAAAATACAGTAGTAATAAACAATAAAGCTATAAAGCTTATTTCTTAATTAAACATAAATCAATTTGTAAATCCTAATAATGATGTATGCAGCTGATTTATATCCATTAGATTGAAAAATTCTGATTTACAGTACAATGGAGGTAAGTTATGCAAGGGAATGCAATGCAAATGCAAATTATCAAATGAATATTCAATCCTATTATACAAATCGAATATACTATTGCAACATGCTATTATCGGTAAGTTAAGAGTCTCTTTTATACATTTTTCGTTATTTGATGATTTGACTTCGAAGAAGTCTATATCATGTGTCAAGTGCATATTTAATCTGTGCTTATAATTTACAATATGTTTCCGCCATAACCTGAAAGGATTAACAGAACTTATCTGCTCCATTTTATTTATATATTTGAAATCGACGTGTTTACAATCTTTCATGTTGCATGCAACATTTAAAACTTTTTTCTTTGTATCTGCAACAAGAAATATAATATAATACATAATAAATTTTTAATTTTTTTTACACTCATGTAATGCATAAATTGTAATATTTACCTAGATGACAGCTTGCATTGTCAAATATGAGTAACGGGGTTTTTTCTGGAATGTCACAAATAAATGAAGAGAAAGGGTTAATTATCGAGACATTTAAGTATTTCCAGTAACCCAGTTCAGGTGAATAAATACTAACGTAAGAACCAATGTCATTTTTATCGAAAATGTACAAGGTTCCATTTATAACAAAATGTTTAGTAATACTTTCCCAAATATGTGAAAACTCATCTTCTATCCATGTATCTGTGCATTGGAAAAACAAATTTTAATTAATTACGTTAATATAACAAAATAATTTGTGTTTTTATGATAAATTTTGGTTGAGAATATATTCACGAAGAAAGATAATTATAAAAAGTAAAATCCGATATAATTCGTATCTGAAAAATTATACATAATAATCTTTGTTACGGACTATTATGTATATTCAAATCATTAAAGACTCTCACATATAATACTACATACATTTTTTTATTTAACTTATTTAAAGTTAAAGACCATTTAAAAGATTAAATAAAAGAGATAAGGAGAGTCAAATTAGTCCTTAATATATCCTTAATATACTAATATAATATATTCAAACATATTAAAATTACCTGTATGTACATCATAAATATCCACACGATCAACTCTTCTTCCATATTCTCCAATACCAGCTAGAATTATTAATTTACTTTTTACAAATACAGCAATCATATCTTTTCTTTTAATTGGCATTCTAAAATATTAATGAAAATTATTTTAAGAGATGATCTCTTTTAGTAAATCTATCTATCTATAATTACAGCGATCTCTCATCTATTTTATTGTTAGAATCCTTACACTGTCTGACGAAACCATTTTTTTGAAAACAAAGAATATCGCCATATGTATTTGTTATAACTTCCGTCACAAGTATATTGTCCTCCAAGAAGATACAAATTATATCCTAAAATATTATGTAAAGTAGTAAATAGGATAGATAAAACAGGATAAGATAAAAGATAGCATACCTCTAGCAACAATCCTATCTCCGTTCAACGGGCGGGTGCGATTACAAATTCCAGTAGTGCCTTTAGGGTATTTGAAAGAGGTAAATTTAAAGAATTCT